ATAGATAGATATATATCTATATATATATAGATATATATATACAAAGTACACTCTCCCTATTATCTGGCATTTAAACAACCAGCACTCTCAAGCAACCAACAAAGAAATTGAACACAGACAACTGTGTGAGATAGATAGTAAAGGGACAGGCTCAACTGGTATTGTCAGCAGTAAACCATGCATGAGACAGGGACACCCAGGAACAGTCCAGGCAGGTTAGTCCTGCAATTTTATTCAGCCAGACAGCAAAATAACACAGTTTGGGAGGGCTTTGTACAGTAAGTCCATAGCATAATACAAACAAAACATCTGCTTTTCCGATCTACTACCTAAACTTAGGCAGGTTCCTGACTAACAGAGTGTCCTAATGGGTTCCCTAACACAACAGGCAGCACTTGTACTTTTTTAGTTTTCTGTCAGCACTCAGCCTTTTCACACAGCAGCATAGAGAGGGAGAGAGCCCTGAGCATCAGTCAGCTCACATTCATGGTGATCTTTAAACAGCAGAGGCTAATAATGAGGTCTGGCTACCAGGAAAGTTGTGGACTGTAGGAGCAGAGTCTTTATCCAAAAGGGCTCTGGGCTGCAGGACCCAGAACAAAATTTAAGATTATGTGAAAACAAAAAGTTTGTTTTCTCCACATCTGCCACAAATCCTGTGTATGCGAGGAAGCCTTACAATACATAAAATTATTTATGAAATAGGCAAATCTGACCATTCTGTAAAACTGAATACCAAGTACTGTATTTTTGTTTTTCATTAACAGCCATTGAAGTGACTTTTTCCCTCCAGTTAGGAGTGACCCATTCCTTCAATGTCTGCACGGTATTTCGAATTGCAGTCGACATGAACGAAGATAAGCATGCAATCACTGATGAGCTTTTGATGCTGAGCCTTCAAATCATGTGCCTTCTTACTGGAGAGGTTAAGTCAAATGTTTTTTTGTGGGTTTTTTTTATGTGTGAATCTTTAAAGATCTAATAACATGTTTATATGCAGGAGCAACAAAACAAAAGGTGCTCAACGTTTTACAGTTTATTTTCTCTAGAAAGAAGCCACATCCTGAATCGAAGAGCCTATCACTTTCTAATGCTGTAGAGAAGAACCCTTGCTCTATGTGTTGAAGCAATGGTCTCTCTCCAGAAGTCTACTAGGCCTGCTGAGTCAGGCCCATAGCTCTACAAGCAGTGGTCTCTCAGCAGAAGTCTACCAGGCTTGCTGAGTTAGACATATAGCACTGCAATCACCAAAACCCATACTCCCTGCTGACCTTATTTACAGCATGCTGGCAGGATACAGACTTTACACTTTGGCTGTGACTGCTTTCTAAAGAAAACAAACTGTAAGATTTTGCATACTCTTTTGTTTTCAAGCACCTAAAATGTTTGTGGCTGATTTAATTAAAGTTAATTTGAGCTTTAAATTAAAAAAGACACATGTTTTTGAGTTTCAGTCTCAGGCCGGTCTATTCAGACATGACGCCGCGACCCACTGCAGAGGGTGTCGCGACCCACTTTTGGGTCGCGACCCACGAGTTGAGAACCACTGGTTTAAAGGATCATTTGAAGTGCAGGTCCTTTTATCTTTCCTTGCCCCTGCACAAAGAAGGAAATGGGAGGCTGTACTTGATTTGTAGAAAATGTTATGTTTGACACGTCCTGGCATGTAATCTCTCAGGATCTGAGTCTACAGCCTACTGTGGTACTGAGGAATTGGCTCCCAGCCTTCAATAGAGGGCACTTTAGGGAGATTGGAGACAGGCTGCCCGTTCGGACCTGTGACTTGCCAGTTTCTTAATTCTCTCAACCAGAATAGTTTGTGTCTTTACCGTTTCCACAAGACCAAGGAGATTATAGGAGGGAGTTAATACGCTAAAAACTGGTGTGAGTGACACGTGCCACGTTAACAAAAAAAGGATAGACCTGTTTCAGGTCTTCTGAAGCTGTATGAAGATACTGACCATGCAACAAAGTCAGCAGGCATTACTTTCCTCCTCTCACCTTTGATGTTGGCATCATTACACAGACACACCACCTGTCATTTTTGTCCTGGAAATCTATTTTACTGAACAGACTGCTTAGGCTTCTGACACAAGCAGGCTGCTATTGGGAGTGTACACCTGGAAACTCCCTAAGCTCTGTAATATTTACAGTAGCCAGATATAATTTATTCCATTTTTGTCTTAGTAGTCTTAGCCGCATTCCCATACTTTCCAATCTGTCACATTAATTGGCACCTTGGGACCTATGTGTTGTGTTCGGGTAGGTACAGTATAATGTGGTCTGCAGTATATTATTGAGATTTGTGGAGTTTGTAAGGTTGATAAGTAATGGTCAGTGACTGTTTAGAAAATGAAGATATGTAAATATCAGCTTCTGATTTTCTTCCTTATTTAGGATTACACAGTTGTAAAGAAGCATGGGGAGCCTGTCATGGACAGTGAAAACCCCTCTGCATCCGACGAAACTTCTACTAGCATAGACATCCCCAGCATAAACCTGGAGAACAAGCTCATGGTAGAGAAGCTGGTTGACATCGCCTATAAAATAAGATATGAGCTTGAAGAGGTGAGCACATTGCTATTATGTTATAAACAAATACAAAGTATGTGTAATCACTGTTTTATGCAGTGATGTAACATGCTTACATAATTGTTAATCTTCCTAAACGTTTTTTTTTTATGTTAACAGTTTTCTGAAACATCAGGTCTCCTGGAGGAAACATGCGAGGGTAAGCAAAACCTATTAAGCTCTAGTACTGTGATAAATAAATGAAAGGGAATGCATTAAGCTTTTGTCCATATTTTCCTTACAGACAGGAATAAAAAGAAAAATAAGAGTTTGATCATTCTAGTTAGTTGAATATGAAATAATGCGTACAGTCTTTTGTCCAGCCAGCAGGGAGGCTTCTTTGCACATGAAGTTGTGTTTTTTTGTAATCAGTGTTGTAAAAATGTGTTGTTTACAGATATCAATAGCTCAAGCTGAATAGCTCAACCTCATGAACTGTCACCAAAGTGATACATCGCTTATGGCACAGCTTAGTCTAAAGGTTTAATCAAATGTGCTTGGCCTGAAAGAGAGAACTACTGTGTGTCTCATTGGGGAACCCTTAGATCTCTCAAAATGATTTGTTCTTTGTTAAACAAAGAATGTGTGTTTGTGTATAAAATAGACTTAAAACAGCAATTTAAAGAGACTGTAAGGAGAAAAGTATGAGGATGACCTTGATGATCCTCATTTGAAAATTCTCGTTACCTGGCTGTGTCTGGCTTTTGAATTACAGACTTGGAACAAGCATGCTCTAATTAAAGAGGAACTTAGCCGACATCCTAAAAAATAACAACAAAGGCGCCTTTAGACATGTTTAGCAATGACAATCTAAAAACAGATACTTCTAGATAATTGCCAGACCTTGCATACCAAATTTTCTTTTCCTCTCCATTCTTCTCACCATGGCCATTTTCACTAAAGGCAGATTAATAGATCTCTCTTTACTTGCTGGATTTGTGTCACATGGGACTAGGACATGTGACCATGCACATCAGCTCAGGGGAGGAAAATGCCTTTCCCTGAGATCTCATGAGAATACAGATGAGATTTCCCAGCAATGCTCTGCTGATGTAATCCTCTCAGGATGCATTGCTTTGTCACAGATTACATCACTAATGCCCAAGAAGACCAGGAAGTGGGAAAAAAAAGAAATTGTAAGTAAATGATGTTTAACTAATGAATGTAAGATCATTTTATATCAGCATGCAGAGCTGTATGCTGTTGTAATTTTGATGTAAATTTAGAGTGGCTAAAGGTCCAATTTAAGTGTCAGAATGCCTTGTTCCTATATTTATTCCAGGTCAGAAACTCAGAGAGCATTAAAGCTAAGAACTAACATTCTCATATATCAGCAATGCAAGCCCCCATACTCTCCCCATGACAGAATCAGTATATAAATATGTAACATGTAAAACATGTGAAGCCAATTGATTGACGAACTCCTCCTAAAACATTCTAGTTCCTTGTATCTGGCCTTAATATTTGGAGTCGCTAACCCAAAACAAGCATGCAGTTAGTGAAATTATAAGTCTAAACTCCTAATCCTCAAATAATAAAGCCCTTGAATCAATTTTGCAGCCAGACAATCGGTATTTTTGAGAATGAGAGCTTGGGATTAGCAGACTGGTACTGACATAAATGTGGGAACTGACATTGCCGATGTCATTCTGAAAATAGTAATTGCCTGCGTGTGTCTGGCTTCAGTACTTCCTGAGTCACTAACTTCGAACTAGTATGCAGATTAGAAAAACTGAAGTCTGAAATCTTGATCTGTACGCGTCTTCATTGATTCGGAAAGAACTGAAGCCATTGGATCAGCATGACTGCTAGGTAACTATCATTTACAGGAGGAGAGGTAAGCACTAACACTAGATAGATAGATAGATAGATAGATAGATAGACACACACAAAAATTCTCAGCCTAATAATGACTGCAACCAATAGCCAGCAGATGGGTTAGGGGGGTTCTCCCATCCACACTGGGGAAAGTAAGCATTTGTTCTCATTCAGACCATTGTCGTGCTATTAAGATTGGAGATTACTTTGTAATGGAGGATACAGAAAGTCAGCTTTATTCTCCATTATAGAGGAATCTTCAGTGCAGCGCTGGTATGTTTCCCTTAGCCATTACTCTCATGGTAACTCCATTCCGGTGAATTCAGGCATTGAGCATTTAAGCTAACTTATTAAAGACAACCTTTAATAAGATAAATATTGAGACTGCCATTGAGTACCTCCACAGAAAATGCTGATTGCCTGTCTGTCTAGTTTAAATCCAGGTCACTGACCCAAAACAAGCATGTGGCAAGCACGGAGTTGAGAGTACGAACTTCTCATATGCACTGTATATGTGCCAGATTTATAGTGGTAGCCTACATGTTTCTTCAGTTTAGGAATTTGACTTCAGCAATTCGATTCAGCAAAACGGCATTTTACTTATATATTGAGGCACACTAAAATATGATATGTAGGTTCTTGTTTTAAAAAGCATATATTATTTTACAGGTAACACTCAGCCTAAGGATATATCTGAACATCTAACTAACTTATTCAACTTGGTGAACAAGATGACCAAAGATAAAAACCAGATGATCGGAAATATTGTGACTCACACCCTGGAACTTCTTTATCTCTTGATTGGAGAGGTGAGCAGATAGGAAAAACAAGGTACATTCTTCTGTAAAGTATGCATTACCACTGAATGAATGAATAAATAAATAAATCTGCATATGTAAAATATTAAAGCACTAATACAGTGTATGTCAGATTATCAGCATTTACCACAGACCAAAGTGTGTATGAGAGTGATGACGTTCTCGTATTTGCTCCTTGGATTTCATTATTTTCAGACTTCATCACGTGCCGCTCCTAGTTATGGGATGTGTAATGTATAAAAGCTTATAAGCTCTAATTTTATAGCACTGCATCACATTTTTTTACAATTTAAAAATATTTTTGTATTTATTGCTAGTAACATAAAAGGTAAAAAGTCATTTAGATTGGCCTTTATGGCTTGATAAAAGGAGTCAGTGCTGCCAACTTTGTGAATTTTTGGGTAGCATATTATGTGCTAGCAGGGAAAAATGAGCACCTTAGTCAGTTGGAGGTGCTTGTTATGACACATGGAGATTTTCTAACCTCTCAATGGGTCTCTATACTTCTCTTCCATAGAGAAGGATTACTAGTTCAGCTCTTAGTATGTAGTTAGGACTACAGTAGGTCCTGGTGCTACAGCAGACTATTTAGCAACTGTTAAGATACCATTTAGTCTACAGCCACCTTTATACTTCTATGTTGTGATACTAATCTTTTTTTATCAGAAAAAAAATAAGTTGCCATGAACAAACCTTGATAAATATGGTTATAAACATTAGTGGACTGTCACACGTATGTTATTATGTGGCTTCATTCTTGCTTATAGTCTTGAAAGTAATAAAAGACAACAGATGCACATTCCTTGGGTGACGATGAATGGAGGGGTGTAGTGCGGAGGGTTGTTAATAGCAGTTTGCCACGTTATTCAACATGGCTGATCACTTTTTTCCTGTTCTCATTTGGTTTAGGGTCTAGTGGGGTCTAAAGGTGGCCATTTATAAGAACATCAATCCGAATTTCAGATTTTCATCTGTGCAAGTACCTTTCATGCACATTAAGACCTAAAAAGTAATTTACAATATTAAAAAAAAAATGCTAATGGATGAAATAGAAAGTTTTTCAGTCTTTTTCATGTCCAACATTTTGTGATATTTTCCAGTGTATTAAATTGAGGTCATAAATAGTACTCGTGCATTAAAAGCCTGCATTCATATTTCAGTTTCAATTTGTCTTTCTCTTGTAGAAAGGCTGTGTCTTGTGTAGACAATATCTCCGTGCACCCACAGGACACTAAAGACCTGATGTTTTAGTATACTGTCATAAATTCCATATAGCCACCAATCAGATTCAGACCTGCGGGGGGCAGACTCCATCTGATTGGTGGTAAAGGAGAAATAATTATATTTAGTAAGAAGTTGAGACATAACTAAACAATCTACTCCTCACCACAATAACCTTCTAGCATGTGTATAAACTGGGGTTACTATCTGCTGTTAGCAGCAACTACAACTTACCTTCACAGACGTATGTTATGGCTAAGCATGACATGTTTCAATGCCAAATGTACCGCCTTTGCATGGCAGTTATTCTTCTGAGGGACCCCTAAGTTTAACAGCACCACTAACAGCAGATTAACCTGTTCATCAGCACTAAGTTAATGTGTCTGCTGAAACACAAAATAATTGAGGATTCATTTATGACTCAAAGTAATATGCATGCTTACAAACCTGAATCTCTCTACTCTGAAATTTTGAAGGTTTAACCTGCTAATATAGTTGAAGCTAGGGATGCACAGATACCACTTTTTCCAGGCTGAGTGTGAGTACCAATACTTTTCCTCAAGTACTCGCTGATACCAATTACCGATACCTTTTTTTTTTATAGGGAATTGTGACATTTTTTTAAAAACAAACAGACTAATGGTTGTAGGACAGTGGTGAAGTGCCAGGGCCTGTCTGCGATCCTGGTAGTTCTGCCGAGGATTCCAAGCTATAGAGGGACTGCAAATCTCAGCAATACATTATACAGCAATGCATAATAATACCATCAGCTACAGAAGACTACAAATTCCAGCAATACATTATACAGCAATGCATAATAATACTATCCGCTACAGAAGACTACAAATCCCAGCAATACATTATATAACAATGCAGAATAATACCATCAGCTATTATACAGCAATGCCAGCAATGCATTATATGCACTTAAAATTTTAAGACTGAAGCCAGCGCTGTAAACACACAGGAAGGCTGTCGAGGTCCCCTGCAAGCGGGGTGACCTCGGCAGCCTTTCTGTTTACCATGGTGCCCAGAAAACCATGCCACCAGCAAGGCAAACCGGACCCCTGGTGAGACTCCGCACAGCCCCACCAGAGACCCCGCATGGCCCACCCGATTGGAGCATTTTCACACGTACGAGTAATAGTGAAAATGCCTGGTATTGGTGCATCCCTCCCATTCAAGCATTTCTCCCATTTACTTGTCCTTAAGGTGGAAGGTCACCCTAAAACAACTCCATAAACATTAAACAACTATATAACACATGTACTTTGGTTGTCCCGAAATCAACATTGGAAAAGTGACAGATATTACCAGTGACACTGTGCAAATCGCGATATCACGCACCCTGCTTCATACCAGCTATGTACTGTAATTGCAAGGCTTATCTGAAAACTGCTTGAATGCCCTATTCCAGTCAAAGACGTAGATAGCATGAGAGGGCTGAATGACACCATGAGTTGCACAGTGTTGCTGATAATAGCCGGCAGTGGTCCAATGCTGATTGCTTGACAACCAGAACATACAGAAGTCAAAGATGGTACCATTTGTTTAGGGTCATGTGTTATATGGCTGTTTAATGTTCACTGAGTACTTATAGGGTGACCTTCCACTTAAAGTAGAAAAGTCACCTAGTCTTGTACTTCAAAACTGTTATCACTAATGCATTTTTAATAAGAGCGTGCAAAGTCTGGTGTTTCACTTATTACTTGTTTTATACTACTCTAGGATCATATTGTTGTAAAAAAGTATGCTAAAGTCACAAACAACAATCCTGCATCTGAAGACGATCGTAACTCAATGCTAAGCGAAAGAAGCAAAGTGAAGAAGATCTTGGAATTTACTAATAAAATAATTAAATTAGTTACTGGAAAGGTGAGCATCTCCGATACAAATGCATAATGCTACAAATGCTTGCATAATGTCTTCAAGAAGAAGAAACGATACTATAGAACAAAGTAGGATGTTTGTAACATTACTTTGGAAAAAGTTAAAAGCTGAACTGCAGTCTCAACCCTCAGTCTTGCACAGTTTAACAGGCTCCTTTTCCATCTTTAATTTATATATATATATATATTTTTTTTATATATGTAGGTAGATGGATAAAAAAAAAATATTTTTTTCTTTATCCCTGGCAGGACCACAAGAATCCTGTAATACACGGTAGTAGCTACAGCTACTACAAGGTATTACAGCGTCTTCCGAGTGCTGATACAGCCAGTATGCTGAGCTACTTCCCTGTGCTGTTAAAAAAATAGAGAGTTGCTCGCTGGTTATAGCAGCTTTTCGGAGGACACCTAGTGTCATGTGGGCATTACCTAGGACAGGCTGCATGAAAATACAGCCTGCCTAGAAATGCCCGCTCCTCTAAACTGACACTCGCCCATCAAGGCTTTTTGATATTTGCATAACACCTTCCAAGAGCATGTGATGGCATCGCTGGGTCTAAAAAAAATGTATGTAATAAAAACGGACAGGGTTTTATTTTAAAAAAGTAATGTGCATGTTGATGAGAGGGAAGAAGGAATCGGGGAAGGCGACATATAAGCAGAATAAACTTCAGCTTCAAACACATGTTGCATCATATAGAATGTCCATAGAACTTAAATATTCTGAGCCTAACATCAGTGTTTATTGTGAAATCTGTACTTCTAGATGGTTCCAGTATCTATGCACAATCTCTGATTGAATAAGAGGACCCATAGAATGGGTAGGACCAATCCTGTTGATGCTTATTCGTTCATGGGCACATTCATGAAGATGAACCCAGATTTGAAAATATTGGTTAAAAGGAACGCAGTCGTTATGCAAGAATACAAAACTGCATAAAACTTCATTTGTCTGTTATAGACCATAGGACTGGTTTACTACACAGGTAGCACAGGTGAATTTTCACTTAGCTTAGTGAATGAGATGAAGGTGTGCTAACTTTTATTATCCAATCACATGCAAGCAAACATTGTGATTGGGTATTGTTCGCAAAATGAACTTTCACTTAGCTTGTTCACCTCATTCTCTAAGCTTATAATAAAGCAACCCTTCATAAAGCTTTCTAAAAGTGGTGAATATTTTCTAGCAGTAGAAATGAATGATGTAATCTTTTCTGTTCTGCTGTTATTAGGTTTACATTGGGATAGATAACAAGAAACATACACAGTCTTGTGCAGTCATTTAAAACTTTGGCAGTTAAGTTGTTGATTCTCATTTTAGATTACAGTAAAAACTGAAGATGCTGAAGTATATTCCACCATGGAGGAGTATTTAAAAGGTTATAGGGAGTTTTTTAAGGATGTGACAATGGACCGTGAACATAATCGGGAAACTGTTGGTAAGAAGAATTGCATTATGTGGTTCATCTTATAAAAGCATGAATCCAGTAAGCAGTTGTCTGCAGCATTCCAGTCAGGTCCTGTCCACACAGGCTTTATTTTGTTTTATAGCAATATGTAAAGCAAGCTCTTACAAAGCTTTAGGCATGCTTCTTGCTGTTTTCCTAAAATCTTTAAAGCTACCTTAGGCTACAGTCTAGGGATGTTAAATGCAGATCATAATGGGGGTCCTGGCTGTACCTGCACCTGTACCTTTACATATTTTCAACAAATTTCAAGTATTGATGAAGCATGTGAAAGCCTCGTCATACTATCTAAAAAAGTATTGTACAGAAGAAATTTGGTAATTAGATTGTTTTCAACTGTTCTTTAAACCTGGACTGCAAGTATAAATTAATATGCATAATGACATTGGTCCAGCGTGGCCCAATGTAAGAATGTCTATGCCATACCTGATCCGCCACTGGGGATCATGTGAAGCTTCAACCTTCCAGGTCCCGTATAGTGCTTTGCTGAGCAGCTTCCTCTCTGCTCTGAAAACACAGGGGGTCACTCGCTTGGCACAGCATCCATTCATAAACCGCCTAGTATTTTTTATCAATGCATAAAAGGCGTTCTCTGACTGCATGAGGGGAAGTGATGGCATGATCTGCCCCTCATCCAATCATCCAATTATCATTTGTGGGCCTATCAGCCATGGCATATGCACACCTTTATTGGGCCAAGCCGAACTAGTGTAAGCATGCATAATATTGTATACCTGAAGTTTGGCTTTAACTACCTCCCGGCCGGCCGGTAGCTTCTTGGATGTAACTGGGAGTGTATACACATCCTGTTACATCCGCCCGCCCGGGAAATGCACGTTATTTGAAAACAGGTAGCGATGCCCGTTAATATACAAGCGATCCGCCGGCTATAGAGCCGGCAAATCGCTTGTATGAGGTCCCATGACGTGCGCCCCCCTCCGCGGCTCCCCCCCTCCCCTGATGTCTCCATAAAGAGGACCTGTCACCTCTTTTGCTATCACACAGAGGAGTTTCTCCCTCTGTGATAGCAGTAAAGTTAAGTGGGGGGAAAAAATGTAAAGTTTCCCCCAAAAAAATTTTTTGTTACACATAAAAAAGAATTCAATTTTTAATTTTTTTTAAAAAAAGTCCCCACCCCTACATACACGCATGTAAACATGCGTCAGGTGCGCATACCTGCGAAAACGACGATTGCGCCCATTACGCCGCACATGTTACATATCGCCGCGAACGTCGGAATAAGAGCAATAATTGTAGGGTCATCAATCACTGATAACACTAAACTGATGAGCTGTAAAAGCTTTTAAAGCGTCGCCTATGGCCAATTTTGGGTATGCTAGTTTTTTGCGATTTCACGAGTGCGCCCAATTTTTAAGCTTGACATGTTTGGTGTCTATTTACCCGACGTGACCCCGTCTTTTATATTTTACCAAAAAAGTGGGTAATTTTAGTTGTTTTATAACAAAATATTTTCAGTAATTTCTCCTGAATATAGTAAAAAATAAAACCCGTAGTGGTGATTAAATACCACCAAAAGAAAGCTCTATCTGTCCCCAAAAAATGGTATAAAATTAATTTCAGTACAGCGTTGCATGACGGAATAAATGTCAGTCAAAGTACTGCAGCGCTGAACACTGAAAAATGACCTGGTCAGTAAGGGGGTCTAAACACCTGGTCTTCAAGCGGTTAAAGAAGAGCTACCCCCACACTGCAAGGGTTAAGTGCTGATTTTTGCCTAGGATAAAAGGTAGTTATAACCTAGCCTAGTTATACTCACCTGATCCTCTAAGCCAGACGGCTGTGACAGTGCCCCTCCTGCCTGTCTCCTCCACTGCAGAGATGATATGTCCCTAAGCGTCCTCACGTCCTATACACTGTGTATAGAACGTGATGACTCATGGATCTTAGACCGCTGCAACGTAGGAGGAGAGAGACTCCAGGGAACGGTCTAAGAGCAAGCCGACTCAGAGGATCAGGTGAGTATAACATTTTTTTATTTTTGACCCTATGTTAAAACAAGCACTTAACAATTGTAGTGCGGGGGTAGCCCGGCTGCCAGGGTTGATAACATTTTTACCCTGAGTTCTTCCTTAAGGAATTTCCACTTTTGTAAAAAGTGGAGAGACCTCTGCAGACCAAAGACGTGAAGAACCGCAGATGTCCAACAATCCCCTAACATTCTTCCTGTTGTCTTTACTTAGGTGTAGAGCATACACAGGTTAACAGTGATCTGAGCTACTTCCTGGTGTATGTGACTTATAGAGAGTATAGGTTGCCTAAAGCCTGTTTGCCTAGCTTGGATTGTTGGTTTCTCAGCCAAATCTGCATTGCTTGCTATATGCTACAAAGGTTGTGGGTTCTTAGCATGGCTGCAAATATTTGTGACATTAATTTCTCATTGTTGCAATTACCTGAACTGACAAAATAACATGTTGCTTACAGTTAAAGGTGCCTTTATGCATCTTAAAGCATATCTAATCCCCCAGAAAATGTAATATATGGCAGCTTACCAGTCCTTAGAGGAGATGGCTGCATTGGTTTTCATTTTGCAATCTTTTTTCTCTTTATTTTCACGTGGTAATCCTTTAAATAACACACTTCTGTCCTAGGGTGGCAACACTCATTTCCCCACTGTATCTATGGAGGGAGCCATGGTCACCCACACTGTACTGCAAACATTTCTTCATTGCCTTTTCAAGGAAGAGAATGGTATTAGTAGTTTACATAAGGAAGAGAGCATTGTTTTTGCTTTCAGTTAAACTCACAATAAGACGTTAAAAGAGACCATGTCACCAATTTTAAAAATGCAGTTAAATCACAGAGAAATCCAGTATTTTAAATGCTTAGTTGAAGCATGTTTCCTTTCCATTAATGATTTTGTATTAACTTACAATGTGCCTTTAAACTTAATATCAAATTTGACTGTTACAGGAAGAGTCAATTCCCTAGCACAGCCCCTTCCTTCCTGCCATGCCTTAGCCCTCTTCTCTTACTCTCTGTGCTGGACCAGCTCCTCTACCCCTCCTTACAAAACCTTTTATGAAGCAGCCAGGAGAGAAGTTAAAGTGTAATACTAAAACATTATACTTAAATTACAGCTCTGGAGCTGCTGACATCATATCCGAGATGGCAGCAGTCTTAGGGCTTTTGGATGTCTACACAAAGGAGGCTTTTATAGGTAAATAACATGTCTAAAATACATCACATGCACATATAATCTTACGATAACATTGTTGTTTTAATGAATGGTCTGGTGACAGGGTCTCTTTAAAGTGCTATTCAGACAACACGCACAGATTTGCCAGAAAAAGATTAACGTATTAAAGATGAACGTATCAAAATGGTAGTAAGGTAGATTGGAAAGCCCCCAAGAGCTTTTAGCCATACCGTGCTATTATGCCAAGCATATTCACACATGGTGGCAGACTTACCTGTCAAAGTGATACCCTCCAGTGTTGCCCTCCTCCATCACTGGCACCTCCATCTTTGCCCCTGCCTTCCTCAAGGTTTAGAGTCTTCATCCACTTGATTGGCTGAGCACTGATGGCATAACTGCCACACATTGTTAGGAGTTACTTCATCTCGGCATGCATGGCTTTGTGTACAGGAAAATTAATTACTGACAGGAAGCTTTTATGGCATAAGAGACTTGCACAGTTTCTTCTATCACAAAAAGCTGCTGAATGGCATTTTGTTTTTATTGTTTTTCCACTTACTTCCACTTTAAATAATTTATATGGACTATGTATGTTTTTACTCATATGTGGAGTTACACTTTAACATCACAGATTTTAAACACACAAGACTAATGTATTAAAAAGACAGAACAGCTGAAAGTATAATATATGCATAGAATATTTATATTGATTTTCTTTCGATAGGCAGACCTGTCATCCAGAATCATGTTAATGAATCAAGCACCAGTGTTATCAGCATGAATTCTGTCAAAAAAGAAAATGTAAACCATCAGTCTGATGTGGATTCAAATATTCCATTGCAAGCTAAAATCAGTAAGAGAAAAAGTAAGCCCATGAGAATCATATCCAATGAATTTCCTTCACGTAAAAGGAAGTGTCTCACAGACCCGACCATTTATTCTCTGAAACAGCAAGACACAATAAATGGACCTGACAATGACTGTGGCCAGGAAAGCAGCCATATACAAAGAACTGATGATGACGTCACAACAGAGGATTCCAAACTGGGAAAGGAGGATAGGGGCTTGGATGGTGAATTGGATGGGGCTGATATCATTCAAACCATAATAAAGGATGACCATAAGCTGGCCTACTCTGAACATTCTGATGCTTGCCAATCAGATCCCGCTCTCCATTCAACAAGAGAAAAGCCGTACGAATGCACTGTGTGTAGCAAATATTTTGCCAAAAAGTCCCATCTTCAGTCTCACAGACGAGTTCACTCTGGAATTAGACCATTCGCCTGTTTGGATTGTGGAAAGCGCTTTACCAGTAACTCTACTCTTGTGGACCATCAAAGGATTCATACAGGAGAAAAGCCATTCGTCTGTTCAGAATGCGGAAGGAGCTTTACTAAGAACTCTAACCTCATTGACCATCAGCGGACTCACACAGGAGAAAAGCCTTTTGCCTGTACAGCCTGTGGTAAATGCTTTGCCAGGAGCTCCAACCTGGTAGAGCATCATAAGACTCACACAGGAGAAAAGTCCTTTGTGTGCTCTGAATGCGGGAAAGGCTTCTCCAGAAGCTCAACCCTTGCAGAGCACCAGAAGACTCACACGAGAGGCGAGACCTACATCTGCTCAGAATGTGGCCAGTGCTTCACTAAGAACTCCAGCTTGATTAGACACCAGAGTATTCACACCGGTCAGAAGCCATATATATGTACTGTATGTGGAAAAGGCTTCTCCAGTAGCTCCAATCTGGTGAGACATCATATCACACATACAGGAGAAAAACCATTTGAATGTCCTATATGTGGCAGGAATTTCAACCAGAACTCTAATCTTATTTCTCATCAGAAAACACACAAAGTCAAGACTTTTGAAGTCAAATGACTCTCCGAACATTTTATGACAGCGTTGAAACACATGAACTTGGAATGACATGGTCTATTTTTTATTTTATTTAAGGGGGATTTGAGTAAAGAGAGCTAATGACGAGAGACCTTGTCAATAGTTCGGATTTCTTCTTTTTTAAAGGAGAATTATGGGGAGAGTGAAATGCACTCATCCCCATAGTTAGAGCCGACGTGCAACACTGTAGCTGTCACACATCGGCTCTATTGATCGAGAACTAAGTGATCACATACTGCTGATCGCTCAGTTCCCGATCATCTCACCGCACAGAGCAGTGACTGTCATTGACTAGAAGGACAGACAGGGAAGAGGCGGGCACAGCTGAGAGGCAGAGCCAGCTGTCAATCAGGCAGTGGGGTGGATCCCTACAATATTGTCGGGATCTTTCCCAGCTGCAGGGCGGCTCTGCGCTGTCAGCATATAGCGGGCAATAGCCCGTTGTATGCCGAGTTTTGGGTCACAGGAGGACATTACTTTAGTAAAAGTAGGACTTTTACTAAAGTAGTTCTCTACCGCTTTGGCCATAGAGACTACGGCCAAAAAAGGTTGGGCCATAGTTCTCTTTTAATAAAGAAAAAAAGAGTAGTTGTGTTTGTGTGTGTTTTTTAAATTAGCTTTTTTTTTTTCCTTTTTTGATTTCATGCCTTGCAAGAAGCCGACATTTCTGGAAGTGTCAGATCCTACTAAATGCTGGATCCTCCCACAGCTATGTTACGACTGCCTACAAAGCCTCCCACTGATACTGACATCAGAAGTGCTTTGCAGATAGCTGTAATGAAAGTGTATCATGCAGCCCTGACAGCTCTGAACAGAGTATCTCTTGGAGCTATCAGGGCTGTAGGAATAACAGTACTTTCATTACAACTATCTACGGCTCATCTCTTCCAACTCTCCCCAACTGGGGAGTTCTAGTCATATCAGAGGCAGCAGTGACAGGAACGGCTCCTTCTGTCAGTATTATCGATTTATGTGGGGTCCCAGCAAGAGTCGGTCTAGAGCTTTGTATAAGCCGGTTTAGCTGTCCACTTCAGAGAGACTTGGGAGACTCCTGTCTGCACTAGGGACCATGGTATGCAGCAAACCACTTAGGCCTTGTTCACACCAAGCGTGGAGCAGGTGCAGAGCAGATCAGTTGCAGACCGGATCAAAACTGCGTCCAATGTATTCCAATGGTATTTTTTGCTCCAGTTCACATCGCAGCGTGCAGTTCCAGAGCAGGTGAAAAAACTGCAGCAGGCCCTATTTTACCTGCACTGGATCTGCAAACGCATCAAAAACGCATGCAAATGCCTTGAACGCACTGAAAGCCCATTTTAAACTTTAAAAAAAAAATTCAGCCAAAAACGCATCTAAAAGACTAGCGTGCGTGTGCAGAAACCTGACGGGATCTGCTCTGCATTTGGTGTGAACAAGGCCTAATACTCTGAGCTAGAAAGCAGGTTACCCAGGCATTGGGTTGGTTGTCTGCGGCTCCTTGCGAAAGCTGATATACAACAGGAGCGGTGTGCAGACAGCTGTAATGAAATTACTGTTATTCTTACAACCCTGACGGTTCCAAAGAGACTCTCTCCATAGCTGTATGGATAACAATACTTTCATTACAGCTATCTGCAAACTGTTCCTGCTGTCAGTATCAGCGGGAAACTTTGTAGGCAGCCATAACATAGCAGCAGGAGGAGTCAGCATTTACTAGGATCTGACACTTGCAGAACTGTTGGATTCTTGCAAGGATTGAAATTACAAAAGGAAAAAGGCTGATTTAAAAGAAAACACACGATTGCAATCAATTTTTATTTAAAAAATCAGAACGGGTGACATGGTCTCATAAAATGCAACCTATAGTCTTTAAAGTTTCTATACATTGTGATCAGCCTAATGTAAATAAAATTAACAATGAGTGTTAATGTTTAAAACTGCTTTCTTCTTTATACGTACATAAGGTTTTTCGTATTCTTTATTGGTGCTGCACAGTGATGCAGGGATGGTGCTTTACTGTGTTTTTTTTTCTTCTGCTTAACCAGAAAACAGCATCGTCTCCAGGTGTCACTATTTAGTTATCTCTGCAGTCTTTCAGTATGGGTGATAACTGTTGGTAATTTGTCTGATATATAGATGAGATACTAGAGGGCTATTTTAATTTGTAAATGAAATATTTTCACATTTTACTCAGTTGACTGAGAATTGTATCAATTAGACGGGTACTTGGGAAAAAATACCAATGTAGTCATCCCTATTGGCCTATTCTGCTGCCGGAGCACCTGAAAAGACCCAGTACGTCTACCTATGGACACACAAACGACACTTCCTTTGCCAGCCCTCAATGCAGCATTTGGCACCTGAGTGGCCAATCCCCAGGCCTGAACATTGACTCATGGATGTGCACAGTTCTGTGTAGGTTTCAACTTGCTTAGAAAGCGAACACTTTACAGAAATCTTGGGAGAGGGAACGACGAAATGGCAAGTGTGGACCATATTATAGTCACTATTTTAAAGTGAGCTAATGACGTCTACCAAGTATGTCCAAGTTACAGAGTGACCCTAACTAAATTGTTTTTTTTGGGGCTCATGCAGAGACTTATTATTATTATAGAGGATTTATATAGCGCCAACAGTTTGCGCAGCGCTTTACAATATAAGGAAGACATTACAATCACAATACAAAAGAAGACAGGATGGTAAGGAGGGCCCTGCCCGTGAGAGCTTACATTCTAAAAGGGAGGGGGAAGTGATACATGAGGAGGGAGCTGTGTGGGGATGAATTGTTTGACACATGGGTGTCAATATAACATAAATATGGTTGTATTTCCCTGTCCAGGAGCCACAAATACTGCGTACAGCTGCCCATAGAAATCAGTGCCCATATGCGCATCCGTGCTGTTGCACATCCCTGTGCATGTGTAAACATGCACAGGGATGTGCAACCCCTTAAAGCAAACACTCTGCATGCCTGGCATACAACCATAATGAGGCAGCCTGATGCAGTTGAAATCTCATTGGGGAGTGGCCTGGTGGGGGGCGACAGGGGGCAGATACAGTGCAGATTTCCGTCCAGAGTTCACTGATGTCAGTGAGCTGGGTAAGACCCGCCCGAACGACAAATCAGCAACGCACAACGCCACTCTATGACCATTCCCAACACAATTAAAACTTGCTACTCATCAAAATGCAGATCCAAGCAGGCTGCAATATACTTTATTGTTCATCTGACAAATCAAATAAGGAACAAAGTTGGTGTGCCAAGAATGTGTATTTTTTGATCAGTTTGAGCAATATCCTGTCAGAAGTCAGAGGGATCAGAAAATACCCACCAAATCCCATTACAATACCAAGTATTTAACGACTATGTATAGGTATTCCTTTTTTAATTTTGGATATAGTATGGAATGGTTTTATTTTCATGCTGTGTCCTGTTAGGGAGGTTTCCCTTCACTTCCTGTCCCAAAGACCCTACAGGAAATGAGAGGAAACCTCTACAAAGTAAGAGCTATTTCCCTTTTAGACAGTTGTCACTGAAACAGATGTCACATTGGAAGATTTCCCCTCACCTCTTGTTCTGGTGACAACTGGACATTTTTAGTGTTTCCCTCAATCTCTTTCTTGGTAATAATGGTCACCAGGTCAAATGGAAAGGGGGAATCTACATAGAGCAGGGTATGCAACTTCGGCACTACAGCTGTTGTGAAACTTCCCATGAGGCATTGCAAGACTCTGACATCCACAGGCATGACTCCCAGATGGGATTTGTAGTTTTAGCACAGCTGCAGTGCCAAGGTTGCCCACCCATGACGGAGAGGGTACTCTGATAAAAACGTCACAAGGGCTCTAATCCTTCCAAACTATTGGCTGTACTTTCACATTGTAAAAACTGGCCAATCAGACTACAGGGTATCCAGGAATCTAAACTGGCCCTAATAAACCATCAGCAGTACCACATTTAATAGATTGTGACATTTCTAGTGCAATAAAATAAACAATGATTTTGTGTGTCAGGAAAATCAATATTTGTGAGATTGCATAGAGTTTGGGTACATAAGTTAGTGCATTAGTGCTCTGAGCAGTAGGTGGTGCAGGACTCATTATGTGTGGTCACTGCGACATGCTAGATAAACATACAGGGTACTGAACTATTAATAGATTATGTACACACAGTGCTCCTAAGAAACAAATGTCCCATAAGGGTCCTCTATTAGTTATGTGCATATTGCACAGTGACAGCGCACACCTGGCGTGCTGTCACTGTGCAGAAAGAGATCAAACAATCTATAGCGGTTCACTGTATTACTTCTCCTCTCCCCCCCATGAGCAGGAAGTGATCACTGGGGGGTAGGGATTGGAGAGAGAACCTTGGGAGTTGGGAGTTACCTGCTCCATATAGTGAGTGTCCTTCCTTCTGGTCTTCCTCTGTTAAGCATCTGTACCATGAGTATGCAACCCAGCTGTTGTAGAGCTACAAGTCCCATGAGGCATTGCAAGACTGACAGCCACAGGCATGATCCCCAGAGCCATAATGGGATTTTATAGTTTCTCCACAGCTGGCGTGTCGGTGTTTCCTACCCCTAATCTATACAGATGCTTAATCAGAGGGAGTCACCCCAATGTGCAGATCTGTCACTAATACCTTTGTTACATTGTATTGCACATATTAGTTCAGAGGTGCGCAACTCTGGCCCACTCACTGTTGTGGAACTACAAGTCCCACGATGCATTGCAAGACAGACAGTTACAGGCATGACTCCAAGAGGCTTGTTGGGATTTGTAGTTAAAGCACATCTGGAGGGCCAGAGTTGCCCACTTCTGTATTAGTTTATAGGGAGCAGAGGCTGATACAGTCTTGGGACAAATTGATTTTCCAGGTTTTGGTGCACATGTTGCAAATCATCTGTAAAGTATGTGCACTATGTTGATGATTTGGCACATGTCAAGTGCACATGCCATAAAAAGAGTAGTAAAAACAATAGCTTATTGGGCCCTAGATGGCACAATTGGTGACATTTCTGGTGACAATCTCACACATAATT